AGAAATCTTCGAAATCATTAAATATCTGAACATCAATAAAGCCCCAGGGCTTGATGGTCTGGACATGGTTCTCCTAAAAAACATGTCACGCAAAGCAGTAGTGCAATTACACTACGTCATCAACGCTATCATAAGATGCCAGCACTACCCAGAATGCCTGAAAACTGGGCTTGTTGTACCCATCCCGAAACAGGGCAAAAACCTGAAATCCACAAATGGCTACCGCCCCATATCTCTGCTTAGTGCCGTAGCCAAGATCGTGGATAGAGTCCTCTTACGACTAATATCTCGAGAGATCAATAAACTGGATCTTATACCAAAGGAGCAGTTCGGGTTCCGCAAGGGACACAGCACTGTGTCCCAAGTGGCCCGAATTGTTCATGAGGTAAAGGAGGCCAGCAACAATGATAAAAACACCGTTCTGGTCATGATGGACGTAGAAAAGGCCTTTGACACCGTCTGGCACGAAGGTTTAATGGCCAAGCTGCACAAGGCAAGAGTGCCGATTTTTATCATTAAAATTATCGATGCATATATTACCAACAGGAAAATCCGGGTCAAGGTCAACGAAAGTATATCGGGAGATTTTCCACTCGAGGCAGGTGTTCCGCAGGGATCTTGCCTCTCACCTCTATTATACACACTATATACACACGATTTCCCTGTATTCGAGCGGACGAGCACTGCACTGTACGCAGATGACACAGCGATCTATGCTCACTCGGCCGACTCGGATATTGCCAGACAGCAAATCCAGATTCATCTGGACAGGGGAATCGTGCCATACTTTGACGAGTCAAAGATCTGTATAAACAGCGCAAAAACCGAAGTCATCAACTTCCATCAGAAATTCAAGGAATCGAAGCTGAACAGACCTTTGACCGTCAAAGGTGTCGAGGTGAGGGACACGGTCCCTGTGAAATACCTGGGGGTTAAACTGGACACTCGTATGACATTCAGGCCCAATATCAACTACCTGATACAAAAAACACAAGCAGCCATAAAGAAGATGTACCCCTTGTTATCCAGGACCTCTGCACTCTCGCAGGAGAACAAGGTCCTGGTGTACAAGCAGGTCATCAGGCCTGTGATGATACGTACGCGTGTCCTGTGTTCTGCAGCATCTCACCTACTCTTATGAATAGGCTACAGGTGCTGCAGAACAAAGTACTTCGTATTATCACCAATGGTGATAGATACTCTCGAGTGGCAGACCTCCACGAAAGATGTGGTAATTTGCCAAGAATCAACGAATTCATTCTTAAGATATCAAACAAATTCTACAAATACCACATCGCTGGAAGTGACCTTACCCGGAACATCACCACACTACGCCAACACCATAACATACGCAAGAAACACGGGCTGATATATGCATCAACCGATGTGTTTAGAGAACCTGGTGATCTATAGTTGGGATCCCTCCCGGGTTCTCGGGAATACCCGAGACGCCGGGGGGTCTCGACAAGACTATCTCTCAAGCAGGAAAATAAAAAAGTGACATGGGCGTGAGAAATCACTACCGATCACTGAACTCGGGCAGATGTGCCTCACGAAAGTGTGGTACAGCTGCCCGAGCAGAACAAGAAGGAGGTTTTTTATGGTTTTGCCGATTTTTTTTACTTTTCCTCCAAAAACAAGCTAACCCACCCACATTGATCGCGACTGAACAGCTCCCCCACCCTCTTGGGTACCCTCAGCGAGATTACCTATATAAAGGGCCTAGCCCTAGGAGATAGGTACCTGTGACGAACACCTCGCATACCCACTCACATTCCCTGGCCAACACCAGCCACCTCTGCGCCAAGCGGAGGGATATTCAGGCACACATATAGATGTGCTAACATAAATAGAAATGTGTGTGATAATATGTGTTGTATTGTGAAAGAATTGAAGATGAATAAATAATTTTAATGTGTGTATAATCATCGAAGTCAAGCAACAAAGAGCGCGGTTAGTACTTGAATGGGTGACCGCTTGTGTCTACCGTTTGATGAAGTCGTTTATTTCCCTTTTTTTTTGCTTGTCTGCACTTGTTGCTAACTTCAGTGCACAGGTGAAAATCAACTGAAACTATGTGATTTTTCCGTAATTTGAAAGATCAATTTGAGGTCATGGACCAAAAACACCTAAAAAAGACGTCTTAAAGACGTACATATTAGTGGAAAATGTACGTTTTAAAGACGTCTCTTGGGCGTAATATGTACGTCTTTAAGACGTACTTATGTCCTGACATGTACGTCTTAAAAACGCCTTTAAGACGTACATTGGCTGATTGGGAATACTGTTCCCACATATGGGGTTCAGCACCAAAACATACGCTGATGCTCTTAGATTCCATCCAGAGAAGAGCCATCCGCCTGGTGGGTGACGCCACACTCACTCACTCTTTGACATCATTAGAACACCGTAGAAAGGTCGGCGACCTTTCACTTTTCTATCGATACTTCCACGGGAAATGTTCTTCGGAAATCTCTGCTATCATCCCCCTTCACAGCACAGACAAAATTTCCGTTATTGGAGTAACACCAACCCTCACGTTTCCGGGAAACTCATACTCAATATCCAGAAAAAATTTACATTTGGGTAGGAATATTGGGAAACCATATTGTAGGACCTCTATATCCATTGACCAAAATGTAAAAGGGGAACTGTATTTGAATATGCTGGAGAACACTGTAGACCCTCTAATCACCGAAATCGTCGAAGCGAATCCTAATGAATTTGATATGGATATTGTATTCCAAGAAGATAGAGCACCACCATATAACTCCAGACAAGTGAGAACTATTTGGATAATACTTTTCCCGGTCGTTGGATTGGCCGTCGAGGTCCTACGGAATGGCCAGCCCGCTCGCCAGATTTGACACCTTTAGACTTCTTTTTATGGGGCTATTTGAAGCAGAAGGTGTACGAAACTGAACCTGCTTCAATATTGGACATACGGCAGAGAATAACAAATATTTGTAGAAATATCGACGTTACTGTGTTCGAGAATGTTCGGCGTGAAATATCGAATAGGCTGTTCTTATGTCAAGAAGTTCAAGGCAACCATTTCGAGCATCTTCTGAACTGAACTATCACCTTATTTGAGACAATTAATGAATGTTCCGACATTTTGTAGTGGATGAAGATATCGACTTTATATTCTAGAATTGTGAATTATTCGTCAGGAGCTTCAAAATGATGTGTCACAAGACCCCCATTTTCATTAAATTTTTTATCCCAAATGGCGCCTATCCGCCATCTTGAAATTTTCATCTCTCAATTCTACTCAAAAAATTTAGTATTCATGCACCAATTTCATCACCCCAAGTTTCAATTTTTTCAGTTGACCCGTTCAAAAAATAACAGGAGGGGGGACATTAAAGAAAAGCACTGTATAATTGAAACAGCAATGAGCATGTACTTTTTCATCACCGAAAAATATTGGCAGCAGTATGTCATCGATCAGTTCAATGGGCCATCAATGTTTGCTGGTCTACTTCTATTACTACTACTACAGATACCCTAAAAAGGAAACACATTCCTAGGGCGCCAACTTCTTGAAAATTTGAAGACAAGAAGTAATTTCATATTTCAAGACAACACAAGAAATTTTATGTCAATTCCAAGATTTCTTGACACGAAAACAAGATTTCTTAACTAAGAATGAAAATGCTTAAACGTGCGTTTATCACTCATGATTAAATGAAAGATAATATCAATATAATGTACTTTTCACCACCACTCCACAAAATGGAATCATTGCAAATGCGTGACGTTGTTTGCTTTTGTCAGAATGTCAGAAAACAAAAATAAAGATCGGGAAACTGAATTTTCAGGAGATCTACTGATTTGCAAATTGATCTACTGATTTACTGAAACATTCATAATCTACTGAAAAGAATTATGACACTTATTTATTATTATAATCACCTATTGATATTGATATTTAGTTAATCACATAACTCATAATATCTTGGGTGATATTTGGGTATGCTATGTAAATGAATTTTCTGGCGCCACAGATTATAAATTCGAATGCGTCTAAGCGGTTGATATGTTTGTAAAAAAGTACTTACTTCTTTGGATGGAAAAAATTAATTTTATGAAAAGTGACATTTGTTATCTGTCAACATAGATGAAATGTCAAACCTTTTTCTCGTCACAGAAAAATACATATTTTTTGACGACATAGGTTCATTCCATTATCCTGAAATTTGTATGGCATAAAATAAATCTAAAAGGTCAAGATAAGATTTTTCGAAATTTCTTGACTTTATCTCAAGACAAGGCAAGAAGTTGTTATCATGACAAGAATTCTTGGCGACCCCTACACATTCCCAGAAATTCTAATATCGATCGAGCATAATTATGGATCGAGCAACCTGAATGGAATTTATAAACTCTTAGCAGATTGAAAAAATATTTCCTAGACATAACCTCAAATTATTTATGTGAGAATAAAACCACTCAATTCTCAACACTAAAAATACACTCAGTTCCAAAAAAAGTGACGCACTTGATATTTGACCTATCTACTTAAAAAAAAATAGTAGGCCGATTTTTTTTTTTTTTCTATTTGTTGGTAGGTAATGCATTTGTCTTTGAAATAAAAATAAAGAGGTGGAAATTTTTTCAAAGCCTCTTCGATGGTGGTGGAATAACTCGAACCATGATTTATTCTTAATTTTTGACACACCCTCTCGAAAGAGGCTTCTTTTGCGAGCATTTTCTTTTTTATTCATTGATTTATCTCTAAAATTTTCCGAATTACAGCTTTTTTTGCTGAATCCTTGAAGATTACCAACTTTCTGAATTTATCGAGAAACAATTTTCTAATGAAATAAACTGATACCAATAATTTCAAAAAACATTTTGATTAAACACAAAATTATAAATTGGGATGAATGCTTAATACCGTGTATTGCCTCCTGTAGCAACTCTAAGAACTTCTAATCTACGAGGCATACTGGAAATTAAGTTGCCATGTAATTTCCATTGGTATACGATCCCAATCTTCCACTAATGCATCTGCCATTTCTGCGAGACTTTCCGGAGACCTCTCGCGAAAACGTACCCTTCTCCCTGATTCATCCCACAAATGTTCTATAGGATTCATATCGGGGCTTCTCGTAGGCCATTTTAATATGGTAATACCAGTTAGTAGCTTCTAAGAAGTTTCGCACTATATTGCTGCGGTGTGTGGTCGGGCATTATCCTGCATCAATATAAAACTATTGCCCACTAACTCTGCATAAGTTAAGACATACTGCTCTAAAATGTCAATGTAAATGTGGGCATTCATCGACTGCCTCACCGGAAAAACATTAAGGGGTGTCTTTCCATTGAAATCCCTCCCCACACCATAACGGACCCACCATTAAAACTTTCGCATTATGTTATTAAATTTTGATTAAACCGTTCACCAGTTCTTCTCCACACTCTTTTTCTTCCATCCACCATGTTGAGGCAAAACCTTGACTCATCCGTAAACAAGACATTCGACCATTCAGGAATATTCCACTGTCCATAATTTTCAACAAAATTTCTTCTAGCAGCACGATGTTCGGGCAATAATTTGGGACCTTTTGCAGGTTTCCTAGCTTTTAAATTAACTTCTTTTAGACGTCTACATACCGTCTGCTTACTTACTGCAACATCACGAATTTGGCGAAGATCTTAATTGCTGAACATTTACCGCAGTATTTGATCGATTCCGTAAAATCCGCGATCATCTCTTGGAGAAGTTTTTCGGGGGCGACCAGAACCGACCCTCCGAGCGGTGCTTCCTGTATGTTCGTACTTGCGGATTGCTCTACGAGCAGTTGCTTCATGAACTCCCACTGCACGAGCGGCGTAACGTTTACTACGCCCATCGTTTACTAACGCAACTAATCTTGCTACTTGTTCAGGATTTATTTGAGGCATTTTATGTAATTTTAGTCAATAAAACAAGACACTTAATTAATGACACAACGACAAATGGTCAAATATGGAGGCATACAACAAATTAGTTGCTATGGCAACGGCATTTGTTTTTTAAAGACAATGTGATCCTACCAGAGTACAACCCAATCAATTTTGAGTACTCTGATCCTTCAATATATTCAATTTGTGGGATAAACGTAAGGTATCAGCAAAAAAGCTGTAATTCGGAAAATTTTAGAGATAAATCAATGAATAAAATAACAAAATGCTTTCAAAAGAAGCCTCTTTCGTATAGGGTGTAAGCACTTTGTATACCATTACTCAATTAACACACAGGGTGAGTCAAAAATTAAGAATAAATCATGGTTCGAGTTATTCCACCACCATCAAGGAGGCTTCGAAAACATTTTCACCTCTTTATTTTTTTTAAAGACAAATGCATTACCTACCAACAAATAAAAAAAAATCGGCCTACTATTTTTTTTTAAGAAGATAGGTCAAATATCAAGTGCGTCACTTTTTTTGGAACTGAGTGTATGTCTATCGATCGTCATTACTAGGCCAACGATGAATAAACAATAAGTGGAATTACTGCTTCGCCAATAATGGCATTAGGTCGGCCAACGGTCACTTTTGTAATTAATCATTAAGAAGTGCCAATATTATGCTAATGATAATCCACTAGAGTGACATTACTTGAAAAATTATGGCCCGCCCATGTATCAATGTTTGCTAGGAAATTATGTCGTTGAAATGTAGTGTAACCTTGGGTGTGTACTGTGTAAACCTATGCCGCTAAAAGTTCGTTATAGGTAATGATGAAGCGGAACCAAGGCCAAACGGAACAAGCTGAACAGAGCCGGCAAACACTGTCAACAAATGATTATTGACGAATGTTCAACGAAGCCGGAAGCCGCAGTTTCTATGATCGATTCGTACACCTATCACCTATACGACCTATACCATCGACTTTCAACATTCAGACTGTGTTTTTAGATACATGTATATACTTTTGCATTGAAACTGAACATTTATCATTGTATCAGCTTGTTCATTATTTGATTTCGATAAGAAGAACAAGTCGAATAGTGTACCTACTCTCTGTGTTAACAGATAAGAAGTGAGTAAGAACATACTAAATTTTAACTAAAATATAGCCATCAGTCTGTCCAAAAATAATATTCACACTCATATGTGTAGTGTATCAGTTTAATAAGTATAGGTGGCAACATTGCCTTTTAGATACCGCCGTGTGGCGCGATGTGAGATACACGAGCGAGAGAGATTCAGTAGTATTCGGGCAGCTTAACTGTGCGTACACAAGGACACAATAAAGAGCACGCGACAGCGTGTATGATGCAGGTTAGGTTAGCACATGTGAGGCTACAGGATAATGTTACATCAAGTCATTGAATAAATAGACTACCGAATATTACGTAGTGTTTATTATCCCTTCAGGGATTAATGATCCTAGCAGGACAAGACACTACATGGTGACAGTGTGGTAAATAGTGAGGTGTACACACCAACAAAACCTACGTCCGCGAGTGTAGACTGTGTCGTAGTCTGTTCGATATGCCGGACTCTGTGAACCAGGATGAAGAAGTGCAGGCAAGTACAGTGTTTATGTTCCAGTCAAATCTCCAACCACCATCGGCATTTAGTTTCAAATCGGAAGAATGGCCTAAATGGAAAACACGATGGGAACGATATTGTTTAGGCAGCGGCCTCAATAGCCAAAGTGATGAGTTCAAGCTGAATTCTTTCATATACACGATGGGGGAGAAGGGAGATGATATTGCACTTTCATTTCGGTTGTCGGAGGAAGAACAAACGTATGAAAACGTGCTGAATAAATTTGACGAGCATTTCGGAGTTCGTGTCAACACAGTGCTAGAGCGGCAGCGATTTTTCGGTCGCAGGCAAGGCACGAATGAATCCGCGGAAGATTTCATCGCCGATTTACATCGTCTCGCGGAAAGCTGCAAGCTAGGGGACATGAAAGAGGAGTTCATTCGTGATGTGTTGATTTTAGGAGTGCGGGATCGCAAGTTGTCCGATGCCTTGACTCTAGATAGTGACATGACTCTTCAAAAAGCGACAAGCAAAATTCGGCAGAAAGAAGAGTTGATTCGACAACACCAGCATACACGTGGAATCCAAAATGGCTGCACAGAGATTAGTTATGTGCGAGCAGGAACCGGAAAACAACAGCGCCAGCAGAGTCGTCCGGTACGTGTCAACGGTAAACATAACCTCAAAGATACTGTCACGTCAACTGCAAAGGCGGGAAAAACGTGCAGTAAGTGCGGGAAATCTCCTCAACACGCATTTAGCGAGTGTCCTGCGAAGGGAACTAGGTGTAAAAAGTGTAACGGTAGCAGCCACTGGGCCAGTGTGTGCACAGCAAAAACCGTGAGGAAAATCACCAAGCACGAAGACGACGACGAGGATGAGATGTTTATCGGGGAGGTTCAGCTCGACACAGATGACATGGGTGAGTACACTGAGTGCGATAAAATGAGTTCCATCGCCAGGGTGCATGCAGTCGGCTCGAGTATCAATCGACGCCTGCCTTGGGTGACTACAGTGGAAGTAGAAGGACGTACTGTGAGCTTTCAAGTCGACAGTGGCGCTGACGTGTCTTTGATCAGCCAGAAGACATACATGGGGCACTTCAAGGACATCGAGCTGCAGGCAACGGGACACCACCTGCGGGGACCTTGTCGCCGCCTGCTGTCCGTCATCGGCGTCATGACGGTGACCATTGGCTGGCACGACCGTGCAGCTGTCACCGACATCTACGTCATCCAGGAAAATGCGAGCAACCTTCTGGGCCGTCCCGCCATCGAGGACCTGGCCATGCTGAAGTGGGACATAGATGCAGTCGTGGCGACAGCCACAAAAGATGCCACCGAGGATAGCAAAACCAACGAGTGGGCGGCAGCCTTTCCCAAGGCCTTCAAGGGTTTGGGGTGCCTGAACCATCAACGACCCTACGTCATCGTTCTCAAGCAGGGATCGACGCCTCATGCTGTCACAGCACCGCGCCGAGTCTCGGTGCAACTACGTGAGCAGGTTCGTGATGAGTTGAGCAGGATGGTGAAGATGGGAGTCATTTCACCAGTGGATGAAGCTACGGAGTGGTGTGCGCCAATGGTAGTCGTCATGAAGTCCAATGGAGGTGTACGCATCTGCGTAGACTACACGGAGCTCAACCGAAGTGTGAAGAGGGAACGGTACATGATGCCGTCAGTCGACGAGCTGTTGGCTCTTCTGGGCAACGCCAAATGGTTCAGCAAACTGGATGCCAACCACGGCTATTTCCAGGTAGCCTTGGACGAGGAGTCGAAGAAGCTCACCACCTTCATCACGCCGTATGGAAGATACAAGTACAACCGCCTTCCAATGGGACTCACTTCGGCAGGAGAGCACTTCCAGAAAAGGATCGGCGAAGTTCTAGTGGGACTAGAAGGCGTCACGCATCTGGCAGATGACATACTGATCCATGGGTGCACCAAGGAACAGCACGACGCCCGTCTTCGAGCCACCTTGACGAGACTGCAAGAACACGGCGTCACACTCAACAGTAAGAAATGCGAGTTTGCAACGCAATCTGTCAAGTTTTTAGGTTACATCATCGACGCCGAGTGTGGAATCCTGCCGGATCCAGCAAAGGTCGAAGCCATCGTCAACATGCCGAGGCCGGCATGTGCAGCAGACGTCAGTCGCTTCCTAGGAATGGTGAATTACCAGCTAAAGTTCATGGAACACCTCTCGACGATGACCCAACCTCTGCGCGAGCTGCGACGTGACGACACGGAGTTCGTATGGACAGAGGCCCACGAGAAAGCTTTTGCCCACATCAAGGCAAAATTGATTTCTGCTCCAGCGCTGGCTTTCTTCGACCCGAAGAAACGTACCAGAGTCTCAGCGGATTCGTCGAGCTATGGCTTGGGAGCCGTATTGGATCAGCTGCACCCAGCCTGGGAGCACAAGGGCGTGATACATCAGAACGTGTGGAGGCCAGTGTACTACGCCTCTCGCACACTCACAGACACCGAGCGTCGATACGCTCAGATCGAGAAGGAAGCTCTCGCTTTGACATGGGCCTGCGAGAAGTTTGAGCTGTTCATCACGGGAGCACCAGACCTGTTGCTACGTACGGACCACAAGCCTCTCGTATCGCTTCTGAGCCAGAAGCCACTCAGTGAGCTTACACCACGCCTGCAACGTTTGCGAATGCGTTTGATGAGATTCTTCTACACCATTGAGCATGTTGCAGGCAAGTCACTCATGTCACCAGACACTCTCTCTAGGGCTCCGATGTCGACGACAGCGCCAGCTGACGACGGAGACCTACTCAGAGACACCGACGTCGAGTTCTATGCTAGAACTGTCATCGCAGACCTGCCGGTGGCCGACCCTATCCTGAGGAGAGTCAGAGAAGTCCAAGCAAGCGACGTTCAAACACAACTCATACTGCAGCACGTCCGAGAAGGATGGCCGCATCCCCGAGACGTCGAGGCCATCCTGGTACCATTCTTCAGGGAGCGGGCCAACTTGTCAGTAGTCGAAGACCTTCTAGTGTATGGTTCACGAATCTACATCCCCAGGGAGCTTCGAGACGACATGCTGGCACGGCTGCATAGAGGTCACCTAGGGGAATCCAAATGCTTGGGACGCGCACGCACCAGCGTGTGGTGGCCAGGCATCACCAAAGATGTACGTCGCATTTGTGCAGAATGCGAAATCTGCGTACAGCACCGTCCACAGCCGGTGGAGCCGCTGATTTCGTCGAAGATACCCAATCGACCATGGCAGCGAGTGGCAGCAGACCTGTGCCAACGAGGCAACCAACACTACCTGGTGGTGGTGGACTACTATTCACGCTACCCGGAGGTAGCGAAACTGGGATCGCTTTCGGCAGAAGGCACTATCAACAAGCTACGCGACATCTTCGCGAGACATGGAGTTCCCGAGGAACTGCGAGCTGACAACGGACCACAGTTCGACAGCGGAGCAACAAGAGATTTTGCTGAAGAAATGGGATTTCGTCTGACCACCATGAGCCCGCATCATTCGCAGAGCAATGGTCAGGCGGAGGCCGCTGTCAAGGTAATCAAAAATATAATCAAGAAGGATTCAGATCCTTTCCAGGGGCTTCTGGCGTACCGCACAGCACCGCTAGAGTCGGGGTTCAGTCCTGCAGAACTGCTGATGGGACGTCGCCTTCGTAGCACCGTGCCCACATTGGGTGCAAATCTACAACGCTCCAAGGTGGACGACGATCACCATCGAGTCGTCTTGGAGAGGAAGAAGGAGAGAGCCAAGGCCAGCTACGATCGACGACATCGGGCAAGAGAACTTCGACCGCTAACCTCTGGAGAGCTTGTCTGGGTTCGCGACAAGCGAGCAAGCGGCATCGTCGTGCGTCGACGACAGGAACCACGATCGTACGATGTCCAGTGCGAGGGTCACGGCATCTTGAGGCGCAACAGGGCTTTTCTGCAGCCCATCCAAAATCGTCCCGACGAGGACGACCAGTGGGACGTCGAAGACTTCATGGAACAACGAGACCAGGAGATCACTGCAGAACCACCTGGACAAGTTGAGCCACAACCACCGGACCATCATCAACAAGGTCCAGGTATTCGAGAGCAAGACCAGCAAGGCGAGCCAGAGGGGTTGGTCAGGAGGCCGGCTCGCATACGGCGCAGGCCGGAAAGATTAGTGGAAATATGCTAAGCACATTTTAAATTGTTTGTTTTGTCATCAAAATAGTTAGTCTGACAGTTTAGTTTTCTACACAGAATTCTATTCTTTTATTCTCATTAGATTTGAGCTAGGAATCTTCTTTAGCTTGTTTTTGTAAAAGAGGGAGGATGTAGTGTATCAGTTTAATAAGTATAGGTGGCAACATTGCCTTTTATATACCGCCGTGTGGCGCGATGTGAGATACACGAGCGAGAGAGATTCAGTAGTATTCGGTCAGCTTAACTGTGCGTACACAAGGACACAATAAAGAGCACGCGACAGCGTGTATGATGCAGGTTAGGTTAGCACATGTGAGGCTACAGGATAATGTTACATCAAGTCATTGAATAAATAGACTACCGA